CATTTCCCTGTCATTTATTCTCTGAGGTAAGGCTGTCCTGGGCATGTCTAAGCTTGAAATGGCGGTTCCCTTGGTTCACAGCCATGCACCAGAAGAACAAATGATAGACCAGTGCTGATGATTCACAGTTAACGCAGTCAGGATTCCTGAACTGATGCACACAGTAGCAAGTCAGATCTCTAAGCCTTTCTCTGCAAATAGCTCAAAATAGGTTCATTTGGGTTGTTGCTGTTAAACAGACCTCAGATCAACCCTAGAGCTCCCCATAGCTCTCAGATGAACTGTGACAGTTACATCCAGTCAAGGTTCCCCTGAAATTTGGTATTCCCAGTCGAGTCCTTTTTCTGCATGTATAATTGAAAAACAGGCTTGTTCGTGCAGCTGTCTTCCAATAGCAATAGAGGTAAAAATATGTTTCTGTTACTGCAGTTCAAAAAAGCTTTTTTCCCAAATGCTTTTACATTTCTCCATCTGTATCTTCTTTGTATGCGTGTGTGGATGTATAGACTTTAAACAGGCACAATTGGTTCAAAGAATCTTCCCAGAATCTGATTCCCATAAATTTTTCAGAAGAATGGCTATCAAAAGGGAGAAAAAACACTTCTGGAGAAAATGAGAGACGTATATTAAAAACACCCACACCGCCAGCAGAACGTGCCTAACTTGGCTTGAATGCTTGGAGGGACAGTTAGGTCTTCTATGTCTTACGAAGATCGCGGCCATCTGATTTCTGGAAGGATGTGTTCCAAAAGACAGGCACTGCCACAGAGGAGACATGATCTCTGACTCCAACAACATCACATTGGCTGATGGAAGTGACCTAAAGCATTCCCTCCCTATTAGCTCTAATAGACCAAGCAGAAACATTGACAGAGAAGTGGCCCTAAGCCATGTATGACTTTATGGGTTGATAAACATCTTTGAGTTGTATTCAAATGCCCACCAGAAGCGGGTGAATGATTATGTTTCTATAGCTTATCTCAATAAAATACAGGTAGTCCTCATATAGTGACCACAATTGGAACTGGCAGCTCCCAACCCTGAGCATATTAGGCAAACAACTGGTCCTAGTGCATTCTTTTTGATGTGCATTCCCCCTTGTGGGCCTGCTTACTCTCTTATGATCTCTTCCCCTCCAATTTCTTGGCTGTGCAAGGGTGAGGGGAACAAAAAGAGAAACAGATCAGGCACAAGTCTATGTATACTAACTGAGAGAGAGAGAGGGAGGGAGGGAGGGAGGGAGGGAGAGAGGGGGAGAGAGTGGGAGAGAGGAGGGATGATGTGAAGATCATAAATGTACATCTTGATTGCAAAGTTATTTTTTCAGTAGTGATGTAACTTTGACAATCACTGAGGAAAGCAAATTCTGTCTGCAGTCTTTAGCCTTACAATGAGCTTATTTCTTAGTCTAGACAGCCTTCTAAGGTTGTGATATCAATGTAATGAGAAATTATTATAATTGTTATTTATTAAATGTCCAAAATGGTCTGAATTTCTGTATTTTGGACCAGCTGCAGCTTCCTGATGCTCTTTAAAGACAGCCCCATATAGAGCACGTTAGAAAAATCCAAACAGGAAGCAACTATGGCATGAGCCACCACAAGCAGAGCAATAGGCACGGTTAATGTGTGACAAAACTTTGGAAAGACATCCCTGCCCTCTAACATGGCTACCACTTGCTTTTTGAGCAAGAGCCTGACATCCAAGGGACCTCCAAATTGTAGACCAACTCAAACTAAGAAACTCTGCCTCCAGGCAAAGTGAAATGGGAAAATCTCCAGATGTGTGGGCTTTAAAACCAACAGGTCTTGTGTCAGTGTGTAAACCAGGGTAACATGTGAAGGGTTCAATTCACTGTTTTATTGCTCAATCTTATACATAGGAATCCTCTCAGACTAAGATTCAATGGCATTCCAGGGGGCGTTGGACTTTTCCCTCTTGTAACAATGTAGATTCTAAACTAATTCCCTGCTTGACATTTCCTTGTGGTTCTGCCAGTCTCTCCAGCATTTTGCTAGGATTGAGCCAAAGCCTTCCATCCAAGCTCCCACAACTTGCAGCCATTGGAAAAAACCCTTGGCAGTATCATATGGTTGGCCCAAGGCAGAGATATACAACTGGGTATCATTAGTGTATTAGTGATCACTGATCACAGTGATACTCAAGACATTTGTCTTGAGGAATGATCTTACCTACGTAGTAGCTACATATAGATATTAAACAGGAGCAGGGAGAGTAGAGACTTGAAGTACTCCACAAAGCAGGGGCTTGATGCTCAATCTTCCCACTCTCCCCCCAACACCGACTGGAGTTGCCCCAGAGAAAGAAGAACTATTTCAATACCAGAACTATCTCATACTTTCAATCTCCTGATAACATGACTGATGGCACTGAAAGTTGCTGAAACATCAAGAAGGGCTAGGATAGATGTACTATCCCCATTTCAAGTCAACTAAAAGTCATCAACATAAGTGATCAATGTCATCTTAGTGCTATGACCAGCCACTGATGGCATCAAATTAAGCAAAGTACTAATGAATATATTCTTACTGCTACTAGAGGAATGAGAGTTGTAATTAAAATATGATCCATTGTAGATAAACAATTGTATAATATACATTAAGGCAAAACATGCTAATTTCATATATGCCCTACGCAATGGAATTTAAGATATAACAGACTAGAAAGGGATCTTGGGATTATGATTAGTTGTAACTCATATTGGCTGTAAATCTTTATTCACTAAGCTATTATCAATAGACAAATCAGAATTAGCATTCCTGGAACATTGTTTCTCCGTTATAATGGACCAACATACACTTTCAAGGGGGTCTTAATCTGTTTATGGAAGTGAATTCTCCAGATGTGGAACACTATAGAGTATTTATTGTTCTCGATAATTAACTTTTAGAAATATACTGTCTGTGGAGTACTTGAAATTGCAGTTTCAGAGGAAAAGTTCAAGACCAGACCACACTGTTTTGCACATCTATAGGAGAAATAGTTTGAAGAAAAAAAGCAAATTCTCTATTGGAGGGTCTCAGGAAATGAATCACTTAATAGTGCTCATTCTAACTGCCACCACACTTTGAATACTATGGAGTACTGATTACTGCACATCAAAAAAGAAATTATCAAAGGTGCGGAAGATATTCAAATGTCTCTAATCAACCTCAAGAGAGAGTAAATTTAGTAAATTCAAGAGTTAGTAAATTTGTTATACTATGACATCTAGCATTTGGGGTTGAAAATCTTGTTATCCCCAGGTTTGAAAAACCAAAGACCACTAGTTACTAATGTGCTTCCTGCCACAGATAAACTACAGCAGTTCCAGTCTGGCAAAGAACAGAAATAAACCCTGCTGTTTTTCTGTTGGTGAAGCCAGGGTTTAACTGTAGGTGGTGTCCTTGATAAAAAGAAGTTTTTGAGACAACTTGCCTTACAAAGAATTCTGGAGCTTTTTTGGGGAGGTGGGGTGGGGGAGGAAATTATTTTGGGCCTGAAGAAAAATATCACTCTACAAAGGTTTTGGGATTACTATAGTGCCCGTGTTATATCTCATTTTATCAATTGCTTCTGATTAAATTGTCAGAAAGTTAGCTGTGTTATTATTTTGCAGCATAAACAAGGGAAAATACAGTACTAGACAAACTAGGCTATTGCATACATGTTTCAGAACATATTCATTTTATCAGTTGCACTTGCAGGACCATCTTCCATGTATCTCATTAGGTGACTTCGAACTACACAAGCTTAGGCAACCATACTTTTTGTAGGCTCAAAGTGTTTTAAGTTTCTTGCTTTTGCTTCATAAATTAGCTTCAAACTTCTGCTATAAAATGTGAGACATTGAGGAGCTTAGCCTTCTGTAAAGATGGCCACATTTTGATATCATCAAACAAAAAGAGGACATATAGATGGTTACTAAAGTTACAAGATGTTTGCAGAATTTCTTAAGTTTAGAGAAAGGTTGGTTGCAATTCCATGTCGGTTGTATTAACAAGTAAGGTGTCATTTCTTGAATTAATAGCATCCAACACTCCAGCAATCAGTCAGTCAGTCAATCAATCAGAATGGAGCTAGAAGGGACGTTGAAGATTTTGTAGTCCAATTCTTAGCTCAAGTAGGATATCTTATACCTTTTCAGACAAATCTCTTCCAGTCTCTTCTTTAAAAACCTCCTGTGATGAAGCAGGGACAACGTCTGAAGGGAAGCTGTTCCCCTGGTTAATTGTCCTCACTGTTAGGAAGTTTCTCCTTAGTTTCAGGTTGCTTCTCCTCCTGATTAGCTTCCATCTTTTGTTTTGTTTTTGTCCTGCCCTCTGGTGCTTTGGGAAATAAGTTGTCCCCCTCCTCTTTGTGACAACCTCCCAAAGAGTGGGGGATACCCCGAATACCAATACCCACGAGTTAGAGTTTGCGCTCCAGCGACGCTTTCGTATATTCCAGTATTTCTCAACCTTGGCGACTTTAAGTCCTGTGGACCTCAACTCCCAGAATCCCCCAGCTGGAAGTTGAAGTCCACAGGACTTAAAGTCGCCAAGGTTGAGAAACACTGGTCTATTCGAAAGAAATGGGATAAAACCCTGTCCCTCTTGTCTTCGTAATAAATAGCCAATCGCTGAAAATCCACTTCGGGCGCGCATAATTTAATCCTAAACCTTTCTTCTGATTGGCCTATTCGCTACTGGATTGGCTCAGGAGGGAAAAGCATTACTTTTGTTTCAGGTAGGTCGTTTCCCCGCTCTCGGACCGCCTCCCTCAGCTCGGCAAAAGGCTCGAAGGCTGCCTTAAACAAAACCCTTTCCCTCCTCCCTGACTGGCTTTCCGCGTGCAGCTCCTATTGTCACGCCGCATTCTAACTCCAAAGGCCCCGCTGTTCATCGCCGGCTTCGCTCATTGGGCTGCGTCGGTTTGATTGGCCGGCCGCGCGACCAATAGCCGTCGGTTTCCAAGGAGTCCTCTCGCCCTGCCCTTCGCAGCGCTTGCCGTAACAATATGGCAGCAATTGCTATTGGCAGAATGGCATCGTGAGAACCGCGGCGGCAGCGGCGGCGGCGGCTGCTCTGCAGTTGGAGAAAAGCCATCGTGTGCCTGCCCTTCTCGAAGATCTCTGGTTGCTGCGGCACTCCTGTAGGCTGCAGCGCCCGATCGGTGCCTCTTTGACGGGCAAGAAAGCAATGCTTGGTAGGTACATCGCTATGTAGTTGGCTGACTTGACTGGCCGAATGAATGAATGAATGGATGGGTGGATGGATGGATGGATGAATGAATGGATGGAAGCTCCGTGAAGAGAGAGAGAGAGAGAAAGAGAGAGAGAGAGGAGACGCAGAGAGAGCACCCCCCCCTGTCCTTCTCCATCAGATTCCCCGTCTCTCCTTTCCCCACTTCCCTAGCGCAGATGCGAGTGAGGCTGGCCTGCGCCGTGCATTGTACGCATTTCTCAACCGAGCACGCTGAATGGATGTCCGTCGGAAAGGAAAAGGCTCCTGAGGTGTGCGTGGCCAAGGAAAGGCGCTGGATGGTCCGGAAAAAAGAGAGAGAGGATCGTGTGCGAGCCTATCTGGCGAGCGGGAGGTCTGCCTACCACAGAAGCCCGTTTTATCCTATCGGTGCAATCTGAGCCTCGGGGGTTCATGCTAGTTTTGCGGGAGCGATGTCCTCCGTGCTTCAATGGAAGCCTTCCGTGCTCTCAGAGCTGAGCCTATGTACAGCCTTGCCGGCCAGGGGGGTTTAAGAAAGCGGGATAAAGCTGGCGGGCTGAAGCGCGATGTGGCCGCTCAGCACAACTGCGAGGAAAAAAAAACATTCGCATAATAGTGGCGTTGTGGGGGTTGGGGAACTGAGCCCGAGAAGAAGAAAATCGTTCTTTCGGAAGGGCATAATTGCACAGATAGATGCGACGGAACCTTAGTTGTAAGCGTCTTCCCCGCCGTCTTATTTGCATTTCAAATGCTCGGAGATCAAAGCCAAGAAACTACTTGGTGGAGATAGCCGATGCTGTATTACCTGAGACATTCCAGTGAATAAATCCCATTAAAGTCGGTAGGTTTATTTCTTAGTAGATGGGTAAGACCACAGCGTTTAGGACTGACTCATTGGTTTGCTTGTATGTGGGCTTCTGGGTTTTTGGGTAGGAGGCTCTTGAAGAATTTCACTATTGAACTTGGGACAGCACACCGGGATATCTGTATTGCCTGTACTAGGGGTTGGATTAGAAGACCTCCAAGATCCCTTCCAGCTCTATTCTGATTCATTGATTGCTGTTGAAGTCTCCTGCCTGCTTTGAAAGGAAGGGAGTGGGTTGGTTTGGGTGGGAGACCTCTTTAGGCATATATTAGTGGATGGATTGTGGATCTTGTTGCTGTCCTCTAAGAAATGTGGATGAGCATTTCTGTTTATGTTGGCAAATTCCAGAGGTTTCTTTCAGTGTCCTAATAAATTATGTAGCTGTTCATGTGATCATCTTTGATGGTCAGTTTAGACAACAGTAGGGTTCCCTGGGATGCTCTGTGTAAATTCATCTTACTACACGAAATGAGTTGCATCTCATTTTCGGAGCCATAAATATTACCGACCTACCTCACAACTCATGTTTCTTTTATGAAACCTATAGCCATGTTTGTTTTTTTACTTCAGTTCTATAACACTGTATCAATGAATCCCTTCTATAAATAGCTCTAGATGAATGTCATGGGCAGTAATAAGATTTAAAAATTAGCATAAACTGGCCTCTATCTCACTTGAAAGATACTTTAAAACACAAAAGCATAGAGATAATACTACATGTTTCTGTAGATGCCTAGCCACTTTATATATTCTTAATATATTGTTTAAAAAGCAGTTGTGCAATCTGCAGAAGTATATTTTAACTTCTGCTTGGTATAGTCTGTGTTGTCCAGCCTATTTTCAGATGAAGTTTTCAGTTTTTAAGGAACATATTAGTTGCAGATGGTCTAACCCTAGTGTGTTTAGCTATGGATTGGGGGGGGGGGGGAGGAAAGGGTAGGGGAACAAAGAGCAGGAAATATATCCATTGCCAATTTACCCCTTTCCCTGTTGCACGTCATGCTAACCTTTTAATCATAATTTGGTGAAAAAGCCGTTGTCTGGGTTCACAAAGTAAGAAGATTTACAGATAATAGTAGCTAAGTTAATATGACAACCCAAGATTGTGGACATCATATTATAATTTACAGGAGTGTCTGAAATGAATAATAAAATATTGTCTAGTATTGCAAATTCTCACAATGTATAATCAGACCATTTTAATATTTATATTCTATAAATCACTGTTTGCAGAATAATACAAAAGGCTAATTTTTCAGACTTAGTTGAGATGCAGAAATGGCATTGCAATCTATACACTACTAAAATGCTAATGTTTGTAACCTTTAATTGGGGGAAATTGTGCAAAAATATGGCATCAATTTTTGAACCAAATGGACTAACTTATAGAATGTGTCCCAAATTTGGAACGCATGACTCCTATGGAATTGACATTTGGAAAATTTTGTAAAACATTTTATGATAAAACCAGATACTATTTAAATGTTATGACATAATACAAAATGTCATAAAACATTTCCTGTGATTAGTTCCTGATGTTTGACTGTGCTATTTTCAAGGTAGATACATCACTGAATATCTCCCTAAATTTTTAAGAACTTTTCCATCATATTAGAAGCTCTACCATTGTTGAAAGCCATTGGGGAATCTGGTAAGAAAATATCTAGGATACAATGACCCAATGGGTCAAGAGTTATCAAATGTTTTTTAAAGTCTAATTGCCTTAGTTGCCATATAAAATTACTGTGTTTGATATTTTTACTGCATGACTTTGTTACCCCATTTCTACTATAAAAAGTCTCTAAATAAAGTTTACTTGCTTCAGTTGGCAAATAATATTCAAATTACTATTTTTGGTATTTCTATTGCATGACTTTGCTACCTATTTCCCCCACTAAAAGTCTTTAGATAAAGAGCAACTTGGACGAATGAGTTTCGAGTTATCCTTATACCGGAGCATGGTTATACAGTATTCAAAAAAGAGAAACTCTCTTGGCAGAGTATCAGATTAGAAGTTCACTGCTTCTTGTGTTCCACTTTATCTAAGTCCCAAAGCTGACTGATGGTCTGTTATCAGTATAACAATATGGGGGAAGAGATAGCCTAAAGTACAGGGAGTACAGGGAACAAGTGTTGTTCATCAACATTAGTGTAAAACATTCTTTCCAGAATGTTTTAGATAAAAAAGAGAGCTTTCCCCTTATGTAACCTATAAGACTGAATTGTCAGATGGTATTTATTTATCAGACATTGTAAGATCCAATGAGAGCCTATTTGTGGAAGTAGAGCTTTAGTGTCTCTGATTTTGGCTGGGTACAGAGACATCTGCAGGATAGAAAAGCGGGGGAAATATGAGATATGGGTCAGATATCATGATGCAAGTGCTTTGTTAGGTCCTTTATACGATGATATTATGATGTATGTTTCATCATTTTGACATCAATGTGGTTGGTTATAGGCATTAGTGGCTTGGCTCAAACTGGGCTAAATGGTAAAAGGTTTCAGTTTGGCTTATCTTGGTATGTAAACTCAGGCACTTCTGTTTGTAATCAATATTTTATGACTTCTTAAAATGTATGAACTATTATATTTTTCAATTTCAAGAACTTCCACACCCTTTTGTAAAGTTTAGATATCATAAACTGTTTTTATGATGACATGAAGTACAAAAATTGGTGAATGGTACCATTTTACATTCCTGTCACAGCTGAACCAACTTTTGTAAGCCTGAGCTCAAAATTTTCAATATATCATATGGAGATTTTTATCCGGGGTTTTTTCATGAGCTATGTGCTCTTGTTTTCATAGTTCCAAAAATCACAACTATTTTGGATTCAGTCAACATAAAATGTTACATGCTTAATTAAAGATCTATGCAAAACAGGGCTTAAGAGTAAAATGATAGCACCCACTCATTAACCAAACTTTTTAGTGTTGTGCAAAACATATCACAATTTATAACTCTCTGCACAAACCATTAATGAAAGTTTCTGTTGTTGTTTTAAGCATGGAGAACTCAAAAATTCTGCTTTATCCTCTTTCCAAAAGTAAGATACATAAGAATGAAAACCTGACAACTATCCCACAGAAGGGCTCTTTGCATTAGCACTTTGAGAAGAGACTTCTTTTGTGCTAACTGGGGAAAATGTGTTTAAGAGCAAAACAGAATACAGAACTTTGAACTATTTTATTTAATGTATGTATTAACAAAAATCACATACTGTGTTAAACCATAGTTGTTTAATCATTATTTGTTTAATAAAACACAATTAGTTGTGTCTGCACAACACACTTAGCTATACACCACTAATGGACAATATGGAGCTCCAGGCTTTATATGGTGATCAAGCTTCCTCAGCACATAGTTGTGGAGATTTTTTCAGAGAAATTTAGCATATTCAAGATAGGGAACTTGTCACCTTTCATTTATTGCTTAGCTACAATTCACAGCAAGTGAGTGCAACTCAACAACATCTGGAGGCCACATTCCCAACCTTCCTTCAGCAGCATCCAAAAAGTTCAGCCCAAAAAGATAAAAGCAAGGGCAGCTAATTCCACAAAAAATGAGAATGGAAATGTTAACATTCTCTGGAATAAAAAAAAAACACCTCTTGCTTTTGAGATGTATTTGTGGAGTACTTGCAACTCACCAGAGATTGCATGGTCCTTGTTACAAACGTTTGTGTTAGACATGCACACGCAAAGGTTACTGTTTTTCTTCTTCCATAATCTGTTTAAGAATCTGATTATCCTCCTGCTTGCTCTCCCCTTCTGTAATTTGCAATTGTTGTCTAAAACTCTAATCAGTTTGAGCCAAAGATGCTTTTTAAAACTACAGTATGTGTGTCTGTGCAGACACTACTCTAGGTATAGGTGATTTTGAAGTTATGCCTAAATTACTGTAAGTTACATGATAATGAAGAATATAATGTTTTGAATTTTAGTTAAGAATTACTGCCACTGTGCAACATTTCTTAACTTGCTTTAAAGCTGCATCAATGGAAGTGATACTGACGAGTGTAGCTACCTAGGCAGAATGACTAAAGTTTAGTAACAGAAGTCAAAGTTCTTGTCTCCATAGCAACTGTTGCTGGAGCCTCTTTAGATGCGGATAACAT